ATATAAATGATGGTAAAGGCTATGGGACTAGATGAGATCTACTTAGGAGACTAGATAGAGAGTGAAGGCAGCCTAGGTTGTGGCCTGAGTGGAAGAGGAGACCAAGGAAAGAGTCAGCGAGGAAGGAGAAAGGCGAGCATAGTGGTTTGATAGCAGCTGGAAGTGAGTGTTTCAAGGAAGGTGGTCAGCATGTGAATGCTGCAAAAAGTCACATAAAAGAGAACAGAGAAGTGACCACTATTTTTAGCAACATAGGTCATAGATGACCTTGAAGCAGCAGTTTCCATGTATATAGGAGCAGAAACCTGATTGTTGTGGGTTAAGGAGAGAATGTAAGGTGAGGAAGTGGAGACAGCAGGATGGACAACTGAAGAACTTTTGCAGTGAAGGAGTTAGGAGGTAATGGCGTCAAGGAAGAGTTTTTTCAGAGAAGAGAAATTCTAGAGCAGGTTTGCTTGCTCTGTTGAGTATGAGCCAATAGAGAAGGTAAAAATTGATCGTGCAAGAGAGATGTTTTTCATGATGTCTTTGACAAAGCGAAAGAAGATGTAATTTAGAACCCTGGTATAGAGAGTTTGTTTTTCTTGAAAGCAGAAATAATTAATTAATTGTAATTGGAGGAAAATCTTGACATATGAGTGAAGGCGCAGTTGGGTTTGTCGATATTCATTTTTCTTAATACTCCACTAAAATATTGCTCCCATTTTAGAGATCAGAAAATTAGATTTGATGAAGGAGAATGATTCATTTGTATAGTTTTAGAATTTATTTGTAGTTATAGAATTTAGATCTCTAAACTTCCAGATGAGTGTTACAATTTGTTATGTTCTTTGAGATTGAAATGTTATATAAATTAACATATTTTGTGTCTTGTTGGCTCATCTGGGTATTTTGTTCTAGGAACAGATCTGGAAGCATCTTTGTTAAGTTTTGAAAAACTTGACCGTGCCTCACCAGACCTTTGGCCAGAACAATGTAAGTTTTTGGTTTCTTTATATCAGAATCAATGCAGGACAACCAGTGCCACTGAGAACCACTGAATTCTGTGATCCAATGTTAATTTTTTCAGGACATGGTGTGACTCGAAATGATAGGGAGCCTAAAAAATAATTATTTTTGAGAACTACATCTGCAATAAGTTCAGACAATACAGAGATATGTAACATATTTCTTCACCTCCTTTAATCACTCTTATAAAAGAACCATTAATAGTTTGGTTCAAATTCTTTTGACCTTTTTTATGCTTATTCAGATAAGCAAATAAAGATGTGTTTTTAAGTATATAGAGGGATTTGGGTTTTGTTTGTTTGTTTTTTGGTATAATGTTAGGGCCATATGTACATGGTCTGCAGCTTAATTTATTCTGCCTAGTAGTAATTTATTAATGGATCTTTCCATTTTAGTAGGTGTAGATTTACTTCATTCTTTTAAAGTATTTCATTGTATAGATAGATACAATATAGTTTAGGTATTTATACCCTATTTGGAAACCTAAGTTATATCACACTTTTGATATTACAAACAAGGTAATAATGAATATCTTTGCACAAATACTTTTGTGCACATGGAAGAGGATGACTGTATATGAGAGCGCCCATTTATTCACATACTAGCTGTTATTGAATGTGACTGACCTTTATTAATTTTAGTTTGTATTTATTAGTGAGATTGAACATTTTATTTTTAAATATCTGGTTTTTATTTTTTTATTTATTTTTTTTAATGTGATTCTTCCTGTTAGACATTTAAATAAACAATTATATTGACAGAACAGCATACCTAAAAAGGAAATTTAAACTTTTGGTAAGAAATATGATATCTTGCCACTCTTCCATCCAGCTAATTCCTAATACTTTAAAGTTCAGTTGAGGCATTATTTTCTCTGAGAAGCTTTTCCTGTTCTCTCCGTCTGATTTAGATTTCTTTTTTGCGGGGTGGGGGTGGGGGTAGGGGGGAGGATGGGGTCCTCCCATAACACCTAGTATCTTTCTTAGAGCACTTAAACAATATTGTAGTTATCGGTTTAGTCTCTTTCTTTTTCCAGACTGTAAGCTCCTTGAAGACAAGGCTATTTTCTTCTTATTATTTAAATTCTCTATGTCTGGGATTCTAAATTATTAATTGAATAAATAATGTTGTATTTTTTTTTTCTTTTTAGTACCAGGTGTTGCTGAATTTGCAGCGTCTTTCAAAAGTGTAGGTAATATTTTACTTACCTAATGAAGTTTATCCAACATTTTGCTCCTTAGTGCAAGCTCAACTATCTCTTATTTCATTTTCGAGAATAATGTCATAATCTTCAAATCATTTTATAACTCCAGTCCTGGAAATCTGTTTATATATTATCATAATGTTGATTGATGATAATGTCTTCGTCTGTTCATATGCTCTATTTTGGCATTTTGACCTTTGTCCCTTAGCCTCTTTTATTAGCTTTAAAGCTTTTAAGGCAAGGCAGTTGAAATATTTATTGTAACACCATTATTCTTTTTACCCAAACTATGATTTTGAAGCTTTTCTCTTTTGTTTATGTGATGTATAATGACTTTAGTTTATACCTCCTCAGAGGATTTTTGAAATTTCTCAGTGGCTCATCAGAAACTGAAGGAAGACATCCATTAGAGCCACAACTTTTCTACTTCCAGGCGTTAGGCACTGTGCTAGATACTTTACATATGTTCTCTTATATATTCCCACAACCAGGAGAATATGACGATTATAATATTAGCTAGGACTTACATAGTGTTTACCGTGTACTGGGCACTGTTCTAAGTACTTTACATATATTATTTAGTCTTCACTATTATTATTATTCCTATTTTGTAGTTGAGGAGATAGACACAGAGAGGTTAAGTAGGTTTCCCAAGATTATAGGCCGTAGGTGCCAGAATCAGGTTGTGAACCCATTGGAATGATTACTAGCGTTCATATTTTTAAAACCATACTTAGAAAAATTTCAGCCCAGTGTTAAAAAGCACTGACTGATAGAGACACTTGGAAGTCACTCGCCCAAGTTGCAGTGAGTGACTCGCCAGGATTTGAATGCAGGTCTGTCTGATTGCAAAGCCCATGCTCTATCTATTAAATTATACCATTGGGGATTTGTAATATAGCTTTCACAGCACCTTACTATATGCGTAGCATTCTCTATTCATTATTAGAGTTAAAGGTGCTGAGTTAAATATTAAGGCCCCTTTGGGCCTGTGGCTTTCAGGTCCCATAAGAATATTTGTACAGAAGGATTCTGACTTCCATTTTTTTCAAGAACTAGGTTATATGTAAGCTGGCTGTCCCCCTTTAGCATTCAATAAGGCCTAAGCATGAGGAGTTCAAGGCAGCATAGGGCTTTAGAGTCAGACACACTTGGATTTCTCATCAGAAACTACTCCATAGGCTTCTTTGTAGAAAATGCCATAATGCATGTAAAACACTTTGCATAGTGCCTGGGACATAATAAACAACACATGGTAGATATTATTATTAGATCAGCTTTTGTCTAGTAGATTGAGTAGAAAGTACCTCTTTTAATTTTCTTACATTTTCATTCATACTGACTTCAATTTAGTTAGTTATATTTGATAACGACTAAGTATTTTGAGTTGTAAATGTAAGTAAGTAGTTTTTAAATAAATTATTAGAGTATAGTGTTTTTTAAAAATCTGATTAAGAATCTACACCTTTTTTTTCTAGAAATATGCACATACATTTTGAGTTTTGTTTCTAGGGGTTCATGGTCATCCCAGAACCCCAGGTTAAGATCCCCTGGTATAGTCTGTTCCCTACTAGAGGTAAAAATGGTGAATTTGACCAGGAGCCTTCTAGGGTAGGCAGTATAGAGTAGTAGTTTCTGAACTCAGACTACATGGCTTTTGAATCCTGGCTTCACTAGCTGTGTGACCTGAAGCAAGTGATTTACAATCTTTTTGTATATGGTTTTTTTCATTTGTAAAACAAGTACAATAATACCGCTTTATAGGGTTGAGTTTAAATTAAATGACATAAAACATGGTATTTTGCTCATTGCATAGTAACAAATAAATATTAATTTTTTAAAAAAGGAAAAGAGCTGAAAGCTTAAGTAATGTTTCTCAACCATCACTGTGCAGCTGTGGAGCTTTTAAAAATATATAGGTAGTGTCCTTTGCTCTCCACTGGACCTTTGCCCAACCTTTGATAACTAAATACATCTGGAGTGTGGCCAGGTTATTTGTATTTTTTTGTTGTTGTTACATAGATGATTCTGTAGTCCAACTATGATTGAAAACTGTTGCCCAAAGCCATTCCAAGAATAGGGTCTCTTTTAAAGTGTGTAAGTTCACTTTCAGAAATGAGAAGATAACTAAAAATTCTAAAGTTTTCTAAAATGTCTACCATATAATGAAATGTCAAGTGAAGATCATTACAGTCTTCTTGCAAATTGAAAATTTTCTCATTTTTGATTCTTTGAATCTTCTCTGCTAGAGAATGTCACTTAACTGATTATTGATTCAAATAGTTCAATTGGAGGCATTCACCAAAGCTGAATTTCAAATAATTTTTTTATTACTACACTAACTTGTCATGTATGAAACAGTAACAGTAGTCACACCAAATTCTAAGATCATTTCTCTGAGACCAGCTTTAATGATGAGCAGTGTCATTTTGTAGGGAGACTATTTGTAGGCCATATCTGAACATGGAGAAATTCGTGTTTTAGAAGTTATGATTTGCCAGTATTTTCAAACAACCTGAATGCTATGTGATAGGCTACTTATAAAAAGAAAGAGTAGGGTCTCTTCACATTTTGTATGTATCTGAATGGATATTTGTTGTTTTTTGACAGCCTATTACTAGCTCTCCGCCCAAATGGATGGCCGAAATAGAACGTGATGACATCGACATGTTGAAAGGTAAGCAATGCTGGTGACCTCTAACTTTTAACCTGGCATTTATGCTTCTTCATAAATCACCTTTCCAGTTTTTCTATTCTCTTGAAAATATTCTTAGCTTCAGTCAAACTGCCTACTTAACTGTCTTTATTGATAGTTCTTCATGTCTAAATGCCTTTCTTTATTTTACCATGTGTAGAAATCCTCCTAATTCAAGATCTGGTCATAATGATTGCTAAATTCCTTAAATACCTTTATTTTGTATAATGCTTACAGTTAACAAAAAGCTCTCACATAAATTTTTTAATTTAATTCTCTTAAAGGTCTTGTGAGTTAGCTATGATGATATCTAAGGTTCAGAGGTTTAATTTAACCAAGATTTGTTAGAAAGAGTTAAAAATTTTAAACTCTTATTTTTTATTTTTAGTCTAGTCTCTTACCACTATAAACAAGTGCCTTATTTAGGATTTACTGCCATATATTGTCATCAGTACTGTTAATTGACAACCCCTAAGTGGATTAAGACCTGTCTTTTATTTCATTCTATCCCATCAATTTCTCCCATAAAGAAAACTATAAGTGGTGAGTATTGTTGTTTGATAAATTACTTGGAACTCAACCACAAGTGGAAATTTAAATTAAAAAACATTAATTTTCCTCAATTTTGCTCTAATGTACTTATTTATTTTTTAATCATGCTTCTGGTGATAAGATTCATGATGGTTGTAAAGTAATAGACTAAAATTAAGGTAAGAATCTTGGACTCTTGAGCTATTTAAGCAGCTGAACATATCAAAAAGGAAAGTCTGCTACTTATGCTAGATATCGATAATGAGCGTGGCATGATAAGTGGGAGAAAATAACACCTTTATTTGATTTCAGAAGTAATTCATTGTTCTGCATGAAATGCTTAAATGCAGACCCCCTCTTCCAACCATAGAAATATTAAGTCTCAAGGGCATTTCAGGTTCATTGCTCTCATGTTCCAAACAGACATTTATATATATATCATCAGTATGTATTTTCTAAGGAAACTTTAAATTTTTAATAAGGAATCATAGCATTAGCATTATATTCCATACAAATCGACCTGTGTTTTAAACCTAAAAGGAATTGGGTGCTATTTAAATGAAAATCTGGGAAAGTAAGTTTTTGTTTTAAGTATACTGTCTTTTTATCTGGTAAACTTAATTTTTTTTGTAGGTATTTGATTTGAAGGAAAAATTTGGATTAATATTTCATTTTTGTTTTTAAATTTAGGGAAATGGGGAACAGTACGTGTCTTTTTGTTATTTTATCGTTAATCGAAATAATGAGGACTTAATAAATTACAGTGGAGACATTGTCCATTTTGCAAGACTGATCTGTCTGTAGGCTTTCTTAATGCTATGTCAAATCACAAGGTTTCATACTTTAATGTTGTATTCATTTTGTATGATAGGCAAAATGGGTATTACGAAAAGGGTCCTTATGTAATTTGCCGTTGTATTTATGCTAACTCTTCTCATTAAGTAAGTAAGCTCATCTGAGGCATTTTGCAGTAGTGGGAAAAAATTCTTTGTGGGGTGTGTGTTGTATGTGTGTCTGTGTGTAAGGAGAATGATTTGATGAGAAGAGATAAAGGATTCATTTTCTATTTATTCAATAGGAATTAAGCTTGAAAACTTTTATAACAAGGGTTTCCAAGCCGAATAAGTTGTTACTAGAGAACAGTGGAAAGAAGTGGTATTGAAATAAATGATTCTGTTTCAGAACTGGGGAGCCTCACCACAGCTAATTTGATGGAGAAGGTACGAGGCCTACAGAACCTGGCCTATCAGCTGGGGCTGGATGAGTGTGAGTACCCAGATCATATTTATTTAGGATTGCATGTTGTGTATTTCATGATGAGTTCTAGCTATACTTAAGAAGATATCTTTGTTAGGTTTTATGAAGGTAAGTCACTGTAATCTAAAGTGTGCCTTTTATGATAAGAGTATGCTAGAATAATTACTGAGTTTACTAGGTAACAAGTTATTTTTCTCTGTACAGTAGAAATGTATTGAAAATCCTTTCAGTTTTAAGTGATAGAATGTCCAATCATACTAGTTTAAGCAAAAGCGGGACTTTATTAGTTCACACAAATCAAAATTCCAGGAATAGAAATAGCTTTGAGGATATCTAGATGTATGAATCTTAATGATGTCATTGGGTTTTGCTTTTGTTCCTGCTTTTGTTTTGTATCTCAAGGCTCTGTTTCGCTCATACATTATTAATTAGTCTTATTCTTTGCTGCTGCAGATAGCTTTTTCCTAGAACCGGGGAAAGTGACCAGAAGTGTCTTTAAATCCCATAATCCCCAAAGAATGAACATCTTTTCTGAACATTCAGAAAGGAAGGCCCGCAGAGGACTCTGACTGTTCCATCTTAGTTGACATACCTATCCTGGAACCAGTCTTTTAGTCAAGTGGCCCAGAGCACTCTGATGGACCAGGCCTGGGTCCTGGGTGCATGTACAGATTGGAAGGGTTAGTCTAACTCAGATCACACAAAATAGGAGGGAATAATTGGTTCTTCAAAGGAAGGGGTAGATAGCAGACCAAGAACACAGTCTGCTACCGTGAGTAATGTTTTAAAAGTTCTCACTTATTACTGTCCGTTCTTCATTCTTAGTTTAAAATTACTTCTTTATACATTGAGTCTCTTCCCATACTGTATTTATTATAATACCGGAAAAGGAATTGTAGAAAATTATCACTTTGTAATTGAAAGAGATAACATAAATACAGTGCTTAGAACTTTGTTCTCCGTGGGTACCTCCTGAGACCTTCATAAAACCACAATTTTGAGAGGCTACTATAGCTTATAATTTTCTTCAAAAACACAAGTTTTATACTGATTATAGGATGGATTAGAACAATCCTAAAAACAGTTTCATAAATTATTTTTTTTGTGTATAGAGCATGTAGTGGATTTGTTCACATCATTGGTTTAAGTTACTTCCAAATTCAATATTTCACTTTAAAATTTAATTTAAAAACTTCTTATTTTTGACTAATAGTTATCACTTTAGCCCTTTTTATTTTTTCTTTTATTTCCATTACTGTCGTTAGCAATGGCTTTCTTTTACCAAGGAAACATTTTTTAATCACTTCATGAATTGAGGAGCAGAGAACAACAAAATGCTTTAAGATGTGGTTGCTAGGTGGTCTGCTAGGTTCACCCATTGTGACCTAATTCTGATATCTCTACCGGGTTGTTTATTTCTTATGATTAAACTTTATGTCTTGGCAAAATTACTAATTACCAGGTATGTCATGGACCTCCAGAGTTTATAATGAAAAGATAAATCTATGATTATTAAATTCATGAATGCAAGGCTGTGTAGTATAGAAATTGATTCTGTTTCTAGCTCTGGATAATAAATGCTGTAATGATCGTAATAATCAATGCTTTATCTCTCTCTGTCAGTTTTTTTTAAATGAAATTTCCTGCTCAGTGTATCAAGAAGATGCTATTACCAAATGTATTTATCAGTAGTATTATCTCTACTTAGTTATAGTTGAAATTGCTATATTTTCTCTGAATAGTTTTTCTGCTTTCCTATTGAGAAAGATAATGAAGTGTCTTATTTTTCCTACTTTTTGTTATAGAAAATTTTAAATGTATACCAAAGTAGAGAGAATAAAATAATGACCTCTTGTACTCATGTCATGACTCAGCTTCAGTAGTCAACATGGCCAATCTGTTTCACTTATACCAACTTCCCATAATTTGTTTTTAATTTTTATATTTTATTTTTTTCAATTGTAGTTGACATATAATATTCTATTAATTTCAGGTGTACAACACAGTGGGTAGACATTTATATAACTTATGAAGTGATCATTCCAATAAATCCAGTACCCATATGATATTACAATTACCATATGCAGTTATTACAATACTACTGACTATACTCACCATGCTATACTCTCTATCCCCATGCCTGTTTTGTAACTACCAATTTGTACCTCTTAATCCCCTCCTCCCTTCACCTATACTCCCACCCCACATTCTAACAGCCATCAAAATGCTATCTATGAGCTCGTTTCTGTTGTTCATTTATCCTGTTCTCTAGATTCCACATATGACATATATCTTTCTCTGTCTGACTGACTCTACTCGCACAATACTCTCTGGGTCCATCCATATCATTGTAGATGACAAGATTTCATTCTTTTTTATGGCTGAGTAATATTCCATTGTACATATGTACCACATCTTTATCCATTCATCAATTTATGGATATCCAGGTAGCCTCCATCTCTTGGCTATTGTAAATAATGCTACAATGAACATATGGATTCACATGTCCTTTCAAAATAGTGTTTTGGGTTTCTTCAATACCCAGAAGTGGGATTTCTGGGTCCTTTGTCTCTTGTATAGCCTTTGTTTTAAAGTCTATTTTATCTTGTATTAGTATTGCTACCCCAACTTTTTTGTTTGTTTCCATTTTCATGAAACTTCCTTTTTTGTCCCTTTACTTTCAGTCTGTGTCTTTAGATCTGAAGTGAGTCTGTTGTAGGCAGCATATGTAAGGGTCTTGATTTCTTATTCATTCAGCCACTGTATCTTTTGATTGGAGCATTTAATCCAGTTACAGTTAAAGTAGTTGTTGCTAGATATGTAGTTATTGCCATTTTATAATTCACAATTTTTGCATATATTTTTTCTTTTTACTTCTTCTTAAAGAAGTCCCTTTAACATTTCTTATTATATGGGTTCAGTGGTGATGAATTTCTTTAGCTTTTTCTTGCCTGGGAAGCTCTTTATCTCTCCTTTGAATCTAAATGATAGCCTTGCTGGGTAGAGTAATCTTGGTTGTAGGTTCTTGCTTTTCATCACTTTCAATATTTCCTGCTAAACCCTTCTGGCCCACAAAGTTTGTGTTGAGAAATCAGTCTTATGGAAGCTCCCTTGTAGGTAACTAACTGCTTTTCTCTTGCTTCTTTTAAGATTGTCTTTAACCTTTGGCATTTTAATTATGTTGTGTCTTGGTGTGGACCTTTTTGGTTTCATCTTATTTGGGATTCTCTACATTTCCTGGGCTTGTGTGTCTGTTTCCTTCACCAGGTTAGGTAGTTTTCAGACATTAATTTTTAAAATAGGTTTTCAGTTCCTTGCTCTCCCTCTTCTCCTTCTGGTATCCATAAGAATGCAAATGTTGGTACACTTGATGTTGTCCCGGAGGCTCCTTAAACTATTCTCATTTTTTTGGCAGCCTTTGATAACTGCCGAGATCCACTATTTTATTATAGGTTGCAAAATGGTAATATTCTAATTCTGTCATTCCTTTTTATTAGCTAGATTTTTTTCTGCGATGGTCTTTATCTTATTAATTACTTATTATTACCTTGAAAGCTGTTATGACTGGATAAATGATTCTTTCTCTTTATCAGTTTTTAGAAAAATCAGTTGGTTCCCTAAGCATCTATAAAGTCTATTCAGTGGTTTTCCATTGAGTCAGAAACTTGGTATGGTTTGTTTTAGTTTTTAATCCACACAGTTAAAACCGTTATTACTGTTAAGTGTATTTCCAAAATTTAAGGCTTTGGAGGTGGGAGGATTTGAAGTCACTTAAGTACTGAACCAAAGTACTGAACCAAACTCTATAACAAAAATGCTCATTTCTGCCAGATAAGTCCCATGAGCACAGCTGAGCTTTTTCAAAATTATTTTCTAGTTCAAAATTCAGCCTTAAACTTCTGTAGCATTGCTTTGCAACTGATACTCATTTTCCTTGATCATAACGGATTACCTAACATGGAATATAGTTTTAAATTTAGAATTGGAAAGAATTACATTGATATGTATTGGACCTCTTGGAGACAGTCTTTCTTTGTTTTATTGTGCTAGTGTATTTGCATAAAAACAAGATCTTTTTTTGTCCTTATAGATTATTCATGTACTCTAGGGGTTGACATTTACTTGACACCCTAATCTGGTGTTTCGATGTCTCAATCCTCTTTCCTGCATTAATTGAGAGGATGACATGGATGAAAAATAAGAAATAGGAACTGATGAATCCCCAAGGACCAATGATCCTGTTTTCATGCAAATATCTGCACTGATAAAGATGACGGAAAGAAAAAAAATGCAAAAAATATTTGTCCTCAAAACATGATTGTTTGTCACTTCCCTAGAGCATTGTTAAATGTTAGTATAGAAATAATGGGAACCTTCTAGGGCTGATAACTAGATTGTGTCTTTTGAAAGATGAACCCTGCCCTTTGATTTGTTACGTGATTATGTCCCAGATAACCCTTTTGGGGTACAGATTTGGAAATGCAATAATTTCTTTGTGTAGGTATTTATAGCCTCTTATGATTAGGGCCTTTTGGCTTGAGTTGGGCAGTTAATTTATATGAAATCCTCATGAAATATATAGAAATACAAAAAATTGTAAAATGCCTTACCATATAAAGAATTTCATTTGTTACTTCATTCTGGTTCAGTTTCCTTCCTTTTGTTCTAGAACCGTTGTAGTCATCTTCTGTCTGGTCTCCCTGCCTCTTAACTATCTCATCCCAATCCATCTTGTTTGCCACTAGCAGAATAGTTTTTCTAACGTACTATTTCTTCTGTTCGTCCTTTGCTCATAAGTCATTAGTAGTACTTCATTACCCATATGATAAAATTCAGATTCCTTAGCACGGCATGCAAAATCCTCTACACTCTGGCCCTAGCCTAATCTCGAGCCTTCTTTCTTACTTCTACCCTACCAAAACAGTATGTTCTGTTCCCATTTGAAATACTCTTCCTGGAACACTTTCTCATCTTAATTCCTTTCATGCTATTCCTTTTTCTCAGAAAAT